AAATCCTCTAAGTATGTTTAACCCAGTTGCCCAGTATGGGATAGACTTGGTGACCTCTTGAGGTCCTTTCTAACATGTTTCTCTGATTATGTGAGGTCTTTTCTGTTTATTGGGAGGAGGGGATTATTTGTGTTGTTTTGTTTTCAGCATCATTATGCAGGCTTTATTTGTGTGACAGTAATCTCGCATACCACCCTCATACCATCATATTTATTGGATGCTGTGCTTCCAGATTGTCCATACTTATTTTTCTAAGTACCAATGAACAAGTGCAAGTACGTAAGTAACATTTGTCAGGCTTCTTATTGTCAAATACATTTTAGAAAAGCATGCATATGCAAGGATTTCTCTTTTCTTATGACTTCTTTAAATGTAAACCAAGATGGATTTATCCATCTTGTCTGAAAACACAAGAGTACAAAAATGTAAAGTACTAATACGTTGCATATTTATTTTTAAAGAATAGCTGGTCTCATGATACTTTTAGTTTGGTTTTGGCAGTGTTCCAGTTGAGATGTTTTCTGCTGAAAGGTTACTCTGATCAGGCTGATGCAGTCTTTTGTGTTGGTGCAGGTTTTCTTTGTGGTTATTTCTTTCTACAACTGTTGAATATTGACCAAAAGGATCATCCATTCTTCTGTGCAAGTCTAATGCTGCTTTAACATGTTTCCTTTGTGTGCAATTCTGTGATGCTCTGTACTGTATTGTCAGGAAGCCATTAGCTCTTTTTTTTTCCCCACCACAAAGTAGATATTCCAGAATGAGTGCCAACATGATTTTGCAAAAATTATAGAGGTCCAGGAGTTTGTTACTTGTTGGATGGTTTTTGTTTAATTTGCTATGTACTGAACCGTAAGTTAAACAGTCTGATGTTTGCAAAGCAAGGCAAACATGGTAAGATATCAATAAGAGGTTGAAATTGGTACGGATTGAGTGAGTGGCCACCCATCAACCTGTCCCTCTGGATAGTTTCCAAGCCTGACAGAGATGAAAGTTATGAGTTCGGTAGATGGGTGTGAGAGAAGATACTATTTCTTAACTAAGTGGAGGTTCATTTGCAAAAGATGTCAGAGTCTGAAGAAAGGGATACATTCAAGACAGAATGAGAGAGAGCGTTCACCTCTGAATATTTAAGCCCTGCTACTTAAGCAGGTTTAGTTATTTCAAACTTTCTGTGCCACCTTGGGATTTTCTAGTAGCTGTACTGCAACTTCCTGTTCTGTCTCTCTCTTCTTGTAATTGTACTTTTTTCCAGGATTAGAGTTTTGTTTTAAGTAACGTATTACTTTCAGTATCATAGTCAGGGTTGTGAAACTAGATGATGGGAGCTTGTAAGAATTTATCTCCCTGCCTCTTAAGTGTGCAGTTGTAGAAGTCAGCTAGAGGTGTGTGCTTGCTCAGTTTTGGTCCTCAGTTCTTCCCTGCTGTACGGAAAGAGAACAGGGTGAGAGGTGGTTCTTCCCCTGACTTAGGTTGTACCACAGGCAATGTCCTCTCTACTATGGGAGAAGGAAGGACAGCTTGGCAGTGGCATGCTGGCAAACAGTAGTGCTGACCCTAATACAAAGGTGGTAGTTCATCATCTTGGATGAGGATGAGGGATGCTGTGAAATCAGCTCCTTCATAAGACCTAGGTTTTTACCTAGAACTATACACTATCTCTTGCGCTCTCCTCTTAAAGAGAGTGAGAAAGTAGTTAATTGAGTTGCTTAGTTTTTAGAGGAGACTCCACGTGATGCCACCTCATCTGATGACTACTTCCACTTTGTTGTCCAAATGTCTGTGAATGCATTGTTTATCTGCAAAACTCAGTAAAACGAGTCACTTGGAGAGCAAGTTATTTTTGACCTGTTGCTGATTGTTAAAGTCATGTGAAACTTTGTTCGAGTTATCAGAATTGTTCCTTGAGACCGGTGGTAAAAACAAACATAGGCTATAAATGTTGTTAGCCTGCTGGGCAGTGGTACAATAAGAGTCTTTGTTCTTATGGAGTACTTAATTGTAAACTGGGTCATGAAACTATTGCCTCCTGATTTGAGGAAAGGTGGGAAAACACCAGCTTTTTTTAAGGACCTTTAACTGTTTTGTGGGCAGTGTTGATTGTTCACTTATTTATATTTTTCAAACACAATTAAAAATAAAGGAAATATTGTGTCTACAGTCAAAATAATTTGTTGTATGGGGTTACTGAAGGAGTTGGAAATGGTAATTTCCTTCTCATAAAACATACACTGTGCATCTCTTGGGGAAGATGGCTAAATCCAGGAGCTGGTTATTGCAGCAGAACGTTGTGAAGGAATGAGAAGTTGCATTTCACTTGTATTTGAAAAATGTTTCAGCAAGTGTTGCGAGCTCAAGGCTCTTTTTCTGCTGTTGTGCTAGTCTCTGGCATGCAGCTGGTGCTGGTCGCTGGAAAAACATCTTTTCCACAAAGATCCCTTTACCATTGGCAGCTAAATTGGTCCATAAGGCTTAGTTAAGTGTGGTGTCTTCTACTTCTTGGGTTCTTCAGTGCACCCTTCTGCATGCCAAGTAGAGCTGCAGCAGTCAGATATCCCAGACTTGCTGTGTCAGGAGGATATTTATAGTTGTTTAACTATTACCTCCAGATCCCCCTTGACACTGGACCAGCCACAAGATACTGTGTTGCTAAAATACCTACTATACTGCCGGCATGCAGACTGTTTACTAGATTTAGGGGCAGGTACATGGTAGTGTAAGTATATTCAGCTGGATCCTGTAGGTGGGTAACAAGATTTTTTTCACAGCTGGCTATCTTTAAGCATGGTTTTAAGTAAAAGCATTATTATCATCATTATTTACCCAAACTCTCCCTACTGTTTTATTTGGATTTAAGTACTCCCTCCAAGCATTCCTGGGATATGTACCACCTTAATAACACTGTTAACTTTAGCAAGGGTTCTAAAGACCTATTGATGGTTTTCCCTGCTCCCTGTCACTCCCAATTAGACATGCTGATGACCCTAGGGAATAAGCTAGAAGGGTTCTGTCCAGAAAGCAGAGGGAACCTGTTAATGACTGTCCTGGTGCTTAACTAGCCATGAACATAAATGTTAACTTGCTGCAATGCAAACACTCCTTTCTGGCACAGCAGGACTCGGTCTGCAGCGTATAAGGAAGTTACATGCTTTTTCACATCAAAATATGTTGTCAATTATGCCTTATAGGAGCATATAAATGAGAACAATGCATGGATCTTAGTAGATTTTGGCTAGACTTAAAAGTAATCAGCTGCATTAGACTGATAAAGGTTGACAGTCAATTTACCCCAGGTCAGTTTTTGAAGATAACCGTAACAAAACAGTTATGGGTGAGTTTGGGTGTTTGGAGGACTGAGATACTAATTTCAATTTTAGTCATGTTGAGATGCAGCCCTGGGGGAAGGAAGCTACACAGTGGCTGAAGGGTCACTGACAAAGCTTTCTACAAGTAAATTAATCCCTTCAACTTGTTTTTTCCAAGAGATTTGTTTGGTAGCTGTTGTTTGTGAAGATGTGTGTTGGGGGAGGAGGATTAAAACTAAGGAGAGAGGAGCAATATTTAAACTGAAGCTTAAGATTGACACAAGAAGAAGTAAATATGAAGTGCTTATGACTAAAATGGGAAGAATCAGAACTGTACTTTATCTCAGGAAGTGGTTTCCAGCACATGTTCAGCTGCTGCTCAGAGTTCCTCATATGTGTTACCAGTTGTCTGCTTTCACTTGCTTCCTATTAGCTACACTAAAAAATTAAAAATCATCGTCTTGATAAATGAAATGCATTATTTCTATCAAGTGCTAATGCTTCAGGTTAATTGCTTGATATACATCTGGGTAATAATTAACAGTAAAGATAAAAATTCTCAGGCATCAGTAATTTGAAAGTACAGCATCAAGTCGCTCGTCATCCTTGACTGACTCGGTTCATTGTGGACTCCCAAGTTTAGAAATACAAAAGCAAGGGGCAGCAAACTAAAACATGTGGAAGCAGGCCCAGATGTGGATGTTGGTGGAAGGTGCAGTGGCCATTTATATGTGCCTGCATCATTCCTTTTCAATAGCATCAAAGTTGCTCCTTTGCACTGAGCATGGATTTAGATACTTTTGCTGTATGTTGTCCTGTAGGTATACTCCTTAACAGCTGTTACGCATCAAGATCCCTGTTGGTGGCTTTTTGTCTCTCACTTGTGTGTTAATTATTCAGCAGATGAAAAATAAGTGAGACTTTTCTGTGGACTGTAAAACTTGTCCAACGAATCTTGTCCTTTAACGGGAAGACTGCTGTCTTTGGTAATGACATAAATTAAAGTATTAAGCAGTTTTGTCATGGACTATTATGCAGTTGCATCACAATCCAGACTGTCTTAATTATTCTTTACCCCATTGCCTCAGGCTGTGACCTCACAAGCTAAACAAGGTCATGCTTGGCTAGGATGAGAGAAGTCAAACAAATTCAGCGCTACAGGAAGTATTAGTGATTCAGTAGGTGAGGTGACACCCCTGAGTTAATGTTTTCCCTGTGCCCCAGACTGGTAAAAGATGCTGCAGCTTGCATGATGAGATGTAAAACAGAGATCCTTTGTTAAAGTTTCAATGCTATTCTTGGTAAAATGCAGATGTTAATTCAGGGCTCCTGTCCAAGTTCAGATTTTAATGGCTATGTTCTCTTTACATTTCTAATTTCTGTTTTAGTAGAGTCACATGATCCTCTTGCACTTGTCTTGAACTGTTCTTAGAGTTGTTGGGAAACTTTGTGTTCCAGAAGTGGTGACATGTTTACAGTTGCTAACAGATCAATTTGCAGAAACAATGGTCCACTTTGAGACCTTTTGAAATCCGGGGAATTATATTCATGTAAGAAATGTCAGGTCAAAACTGAAAAGCTGCCAGATTTTTTTTTTCTTTCTTTTAATGTGTGCAGAATAGTTTTTTGGCTTGGATATACGTATTTGCAACATGGTCGAATGTACTCATGCTTATGTATTTTTATTTTGTATAGGATTCAAGTGCCCTGTATGTTCAAAATTTGTATCTTCCGATGAAATGGATTTACATCTTGTGATGTGTTTGACAAAGCCAAGGATAACCTACAATGGTAAGAAAGAAGTAAGCTGATAATTATTTATTCATTTTAAACATTACAGTGATAATAATTCTTTATTTAATGATATACTCTGGTAACTAATTCAGTGGACTCAGAAATGGTATATGGTTTTTACTTGTTTATTTTTTCAAAATAATTTCTAAGAACTTGGTCTTTTTTATACTGCCTGCCAATATAAATTACACTGTTGACTTGTTCCACAAATATAAACTTATTTTTATTTGAGTTTGTGTATTCTGTTTTTTGGGCCACAAGATCAGATATTGGTCAGAGTCTGTTTAGTGCCCACCTGAGATATGTGTAGTTTAAATGTCCTCTCATCTAATGACGTCAAGTAGTGAGGTAGGTCAATCGAGTCTCCTTCTGGGGACATTATTAAGGACTGTTACTTGACTCACTGTGCTTTTGCACCTTACTCAAGAAAATTACCCTTTCTTAAAGGAGCTAAAGAACTTTCTCCTTTTTCAGCTGATTGTATATGTGATGCTTCATAACGACTGGTAGATATGTATGTCTCACCATCATTTTTTTGTGGGTTTAGTGAGATTTTTGCCAATGTCAAATGAATCACCTGTTGTAGCTCTTTTTTTTTTTTCTTTTTTTTTTTTTCCCCCTCTGGGAAAGCTAAGCTCTTCTTCTAGGCAACCTTTGATGCAAGGCAAACAGGACTTTTGCCATTGTTGGCAAAAGTCTCTTGCCATGGCTTAGACTGACACTCAGTTCTATGGCGAGCACACAAAAAGGTTTCAGAGAACTAGGAATTAGAAAATGTTACTGAAATCTTAGTGCCTACTTTGGCAGAGCTGCCCTACCATCAGGAAATCTTACAGTGCCTCTTGAATGAGCTTATGGCTCACCCGTCATCAGATGTGGAATTTAAGAGAACAGAATATGATTAGAAATAAATTGTAGGAGAGAGGAAGTCAGATTCTTTTTGGAGGTGCAGAGCAAAAAGTTGAGAGTCAGTGGTCACAAGTGGCATCAGGGAAAAATCTGATTCAATGTAAGGTAGAAATGCTGTGTGATTAGGGTGGTCAAACACAGTAGCAGGCACCTGAAGAGGTTGTGCAACCTCAATCCTTGGAGATGATCAGAAATTGACTCATCAAGGGCCTGAGCAGCTTAGTGTACCAACTTGGTCCTGCTTTGAGTGAGGGGCTGGACCAGAAGACCTCCAGAGGTCCCTTCCAACATAAATTAGTTATTGTATAAATAACCTGCAGTGTTATGGGCTCTTTGACCCTACTGGCACCCTTGCTGTTATGGTATCCCACGCTAGATTTTTTTTTTTTTTTTTTTTTTTTTTTGGAACAAGTTTTGAAGGGTGGTTGTGCCCACCTTATTCTTTGCCTGGATAGCAATAATGCTTGGCCTTAATTGCAAAAATAATTTGAAATAGTATACTTACAGTTGTGAAATCCTTTTCAAAGCACAGCACTCAGGAAAAGTAAATATTTTTTTCTCCTGGTGTTGCCACACATATATTTGAGAAGGTTGACTTCATGTAGCAGAGGGAGCTTTGTTTCTCTTTGCCTTTTGTAAATTAGGACTAAGCATTTTCTAAGATACGTTGTTAGAAATCTGTGTACTGAGGGATGTTGAACATCAGGGAGAAGCAGTTACCACAGTCAGGGAGGGATAATGCGCTTGGGATCAGTTAGGGTAGAGCAGGAGGAGGCAAGCTGGCAGAGAGGAAGCTCTGGCAGTAAGCCAACCGATGGGATGTGCACAAGTTACGAGTCGACTGACTTAAATCCTTTGCCCCGTCTGCTCCCTACACGTACATATGAGACCACTCAGCTAACTTTTTTCAAAGAAACAGCAATTACATAACGTAACCTCTCAGTATTGTTTGTGGTGTTCATTTGTATCACAACAGTGCTATATTCAACCTTTTTCTTTCTTTTTTTTTTTTTTTTTTTTTTTGTTTCCTGCACTGTTTCTCTCAGCTGGCTCACTGCTGGTTGGAGCTCCTTTGGGCCATCTTGTTACCTTTGCACAGCTCGTTAAGTCAACAAACTTCCGTATAAATGAGCAGAAGTAAAACTTGTGAGCGTCACCTGAAGCCACTCTGGATAAGATGCAACACAACAAAAGCAGTTGTGGACAGTGCAATCCAAGTTACTACCAGCAACATGTCATTTCTCAATTGTTTCCGTGTGTCTGCTGTACTCATTCTAGGAAATGAGCTTGAAAGGAGAAAACTACTAAATTACATAGACTGGTTTGAGAGAGACAGTTACTTAGAAGTATGGTCTCATTCTCATAAACACTTAATAGAAATATGCATTGATCCTTGTAACTCCAATTGGTTAGCTTCTGGAGTTGTGGACTAAATCTTAAATTAGAGCCTATAGCTGGTTATTTAAATTACTGCAGCACAAAGAAATTGAGGATATGGCTTCAGAGTTGTGCAATGCTCAGTTGTTACTCTGTGGTATGACTGTGATCCCTTTAATGAGGCTAATGAAAGAGAATTAGCTAGCAGATTGGTAACTTAATGCTGCCACGATTACAGGCCCAGAAATTGCAAATGAATGTCTATATGCATGCTTTTTTTTCTTGTTTATTTTGCTGTTTGCCATGATGAGGGATCAGTGATTCATCTGCCTTTTTGTCATAAGCCGTAAGAAGGGCATCTCAAGTTTTGCCTGAGAGAAGAAAAGATGCTGCTATCGACTTTTGATACCTTCTTCAAAATTAAAGGCATCTCTTTATGCTTTACATTCTCATTATTATCTTGGCCTTATGCCATACATACTCAAATAGAGCCAAGTAGGCATCATTTGCTTGTGTTGGTCACTGGTGATTTCCCAGTCCTATTACCACTAGCAGGAAAAATAGCTTTTTTTTTTTTTCTCCCTCACCTTCTTTTCTCTCCGAATTTTGTGTTGCAAGCAGTTGAAGGGAGCCTTAGACTTTGCAGGTGGTGAGATATTTAAAAATTGAGTGGTTGGACTGAACTGTGCTTATGTCTAGTTCTCTTCTAGATGTGTTTCCTCATGATACTGTAAATGTATTCATTGTTCCTTCTAAGGAACAACAGGGAGCAAATTGTATGTGTTTTGTCATTCTGAGAAGACAAACCTTCTTTCTTTTTAAATGTGAGTCTGAGGCATACAGTCTTCCCCAGAAAAATGTTATAAGACTGTTTAGATGTGATTTGAACTTTAAAAAAATTAATGAGTCCTCCCAGCCAATCTCTAATTGCTTTCTGAGCTACCTTTGTGCATTGCATTTGGCAGTAGGAAGGGTCAGTGAACTGCAAACTGGCAGCTGATTTACACGTGTTTTCTGAAAGAAAGTGGTCACAAATTTGTCCCAGTTCTATGCTAGAAGTTGTGCTGATTTTCATATAAATAAATCAGTACATTATATTAGCCTTATTCTTTCAGAATCATGTGACTTGCCTGCAACAGAGATGTCATTGCTTACTCAATTTGGCATATAAAAAGAGCTCTTTCTTTTTTCTGTGGAACTTTGTTCCAAGTATGTCTTAAACTACTTGTGGTGCTCACACATGAACCAATATCTACGCATTTTGATACAAAAGCTGGTTAAATGAATGGAATTGTCCAAAAACATTGCTGTGTTTGGTGTTACTGCCTTAAATAGCCTTGCTTTTTTTAGCAATTAAAACCTCTCTTCATACTGTTGCTTGCTGAGTTGCTGAGAAGCCGGAGTAGGTCCCATGCACTGGTCAGCCACATGTTGCTAAAAGCCAGTTTTATGAAGAAAGTGGGTTACTTGCTAGTTGACAAATTTTTTTGAAAACCACTGCTAAAATATTATATAGCTATACCTATTCCTTTGAGCTTCTCCAAAGTGTTAAATGAGGCCCCTTGCACCACCTCGTTCAAGCTTGCAGGGAGCCCACTTAGGGACTACTCTGCGCAAGATGCTGCTTGCAAGGTGTTTTGTGTTTTGGCCAGGCAGGGGCATTTACTTGAGTGACAGTCAGTGCTTTGGAAGCAGCTTGCCTTAAACTCCTTGCTGATGATTAGACCTATCTGTTAAAGTTTAGGTTTTGAATATAATTATTGTTCCTTTTGTGTTGTTACAGTATCAATGCTTTTTTTCCACTGGAATGTGTTTTATAAAAATTGAGGAGACACAGGAGAGACTTGTGTCTTTAGAGGCACTAGTTTTAGATGCTTTGCAACAAATGCAACCAATTCTTTTTGAAGAAACCTTGCAGTTGGTTCTGAAGTAATTCTGGGTTTCATTTTTAAATTCCTTTGTTTCTCAGAACACTTTGTATTATTATGATTATGATTATTAATTATGCCCCTCTGAGAGCACGGACTAGCAGCCTGGCACCTGGCCAGATGGGGAAGCCAGTGACCCCAGAGAGCTGGGGAGAGCCAGTCAGCTCACTAGACTGGTTGGCTGGCTCGGTGAGCCGGCCTGTCCTCTTTCAAAAGTTTTGATTGAATTAGCACATTCCTGTGGAATATTTTGGGTTTCATCAAGTCAGCACTTTGTGTTGGAACACTGTTCTACTGGAAACTTTCTAAGAGGGTCTTCTTAAAGCCGCTTGCTCAGGGGTGGTGCTGCTTTCACTCAGACCGCTCTGCATTTAATTCGGATATGGCAGTGGGTCTGGTTATTGGCCAACGTATTTACTGAGGTTCATTTTAAGGGGAAAAGCTTTTGCTTGTGTAATTTCAGGGAGGGAGAGTGTTGAGACATCCAGTGCATGCGCTGCTGGAGGTTTCTTCTTTATTCAAGGTAACAACTTTGCAATTGTTCTTTTTAAATTACAGTAAGTGAAGTTTTTAGCCCTATCACACCAAAAAAGAGCAGGCGATAAAATATCACAGATAGCAGGGATTACATGTATGATTTTATATATAAAGTTTATCCAGCTCTGTTTTGAATGGAGGATGAGTATGTGGCAAGACTGTTACAGACAGAATATTGAAAATTAAGGTAGGTGTACTGGAAAGAAAACATGAATGAACCTCGGTGTGCTCTTCCTGTCCGGCAAT